AGCTCTCATGTAGGGCGAGGTTTTATCCTGCCAGGATCATTTACAGATGGTCCTCGGTACATGCAAAAACGCTTTCTGGACGCGATGACGTCGGGTCGCAGGCTCGGAGCGCTAAGCCTTTTCATCACGATGACATGCAACCTGAACTGGCTGGAGATAAAAAAAAACATAAAGCCCGGAGAATCCACTGCGGACAGACCCGATCTGGTATCACGCGTTTTCAGACGAAAGCTAGCGGCGCTATTGAAGGATCTTGCCGAGGATGTACTCGGAATTCAGGCGGCGCGAGTTTTTGTAGTCCAGAAGCGCGGCCTTCCCCACGCGCATATTCTGGTGATTCTTCGCCCAGAGGACAGACCGTTGCCTCCGGAAGACATCATTAATTTGGTTTCCGCCGAAATTCCAGACAAGGAGAAACAGCCAGAGCTATACGAGACCGTGCTGTCGTATGATGCACGGTCTTTGCGGAGAACAGAACCGAAACTGCCCCTGTATAGAGAACAAGTGTAGCAAGCATTTCCCAATGCCATTTTCCGACACTACACGTGTCGCCGAGGGGAAGTACCCCATCTACAAGCGACGACGTCGTGCAGAGGGACGTCTGAAGCATAACCGGATGGTCTGGGACAACGAAACGGTTAACCAGTGGGTTGTGCCATACAATCTGTATCTCGCACAGAAGTACAGCTGCCACATCAACGTGGAGGTGTGTACGTCGACCGGAGCCGTCAAATACATCTACAAGCACGTTTACAAAGGGTCGGACACAGCCACCGTGACTCTGGAATGTGTAGATGAGGCCGTCAACGAGATTCTGCTGTACCAAATGGATCGGTACATCTCGCCGGCCGAGTCCTGTTGCCGAGCGACAGGACTGCGCTGTGGGCCAAATTCACAAGAGTTTTGTCGGAGGATTTCCAGAGGCAACTTGATGCGGAAGTGGACGATAGGCGTGTCGAGTTCTTAACACTGCTGGCCATTGAAAAGGTTCTCACGGCTAACGATAAAAGCCTGGTAGATTACCAGCTACCGCCCCCCGGACGATATCAGTTTACCGCGGGATATGTGTCTCATTCCGGATCAACTGGAGCAGGAAGACAATGAAGAAAAAGGCTTTCCCAACTTTGCCCTCCTCCCACC